TTTTCCCCTCTCCCTTTCAAATGTTATCTTCTTCATCTCTCAAACCCTCTACAATCTCCATACATGGCCACCGCTCCGTGGCCCCTCCGTCGTGCCGGCCACCGTGCCGGCTGCCACCGGCGGTGGCCGAAGGAAAAAACCTTACCTCAAAATGCTCCTCTTTACACCTGAAACACTAGCCTGAACTCCAAAACCGCAAAAATCTTACGAATCATTGTAGATCTAACCCGAAGGTCATCGGCTTTTACCTTTTCATCGGTGGTGACTCCTCGGTTCTTCGGCGTTCTCGTTTTCGTGTTTTGCTTCTTGGCTGACGTTTGTGTTGTGGTTTACATTCTGTTGATTTTTTTATTGTTTCGTGGGTTCTGTTCTTTGATCTGGTAGTGGTTATGTTTTTGGTTTCGGCCTCACTGTTTTATTTGTGAGACCGTTGGTTGTTCGTGTTTTGGCTCTCTGTTGATAGTTTGATTTTCTGTGTAGATAGTCACCGTGGTTTTTGTGTGTACTCTGTTCCCGTGTACTGTTTTTTGTGTTTCGTCTATGATCGGTTTACTCTCAATGATGATGTTGTTTTGGGTACTTGTTGATGCCCCTGGCAGTGGCTTGGTGGGGGGTATTTATACCCCCACCGATGATTATTCTCTTTCGATCATAACGGGGTCGTTCCCCTCAACGTTCACGTGGCCAGGAATCTCGGGATGGTGCAATCCCGATTTTCCCGAGCGGTAGACTCGCACCTGACTCTTTGGTTTCCTTGACTTGTGCGACGCTGTTGATGATGCCATCTTAGGGTTCCCAAACCCTAAACTTTGACGAGCTGGATCAGGCCTAGAACTGCTTCATTCAGACACTGTTGGACTGGAATCTGGAAAAAACGAGAAAAAAGAATAAATAATAAGTAATAAACAAAAAATAAAATAAATAAAAATAAAAACATGTAAAAATAATAATAAATAAATAAATAAATATAATAAAAACATTTTTTTTAAAACTATATAATATATATGTTTAAAAAATAATTTTCAAAACTATAAAATATATATTTTCAAAAATTGTTTTAAAAACTTATATATTATATATATTTTTCAAAAACGTTTTAAAATTATATAATATATATATATTTTTTAAATGTTTTAAAAACTATATAATATATATGTTTTCAAAATGTTTTAAAAACTATATAATATATATATTTTTTCAAAATGATTTAAAAACTATATAATATATATATGTTTTCAAAAATGTTTTAAAAACTATATATCTATATATTTTTAAAATGTTTTCAAAATTATATAATATATACATATATATTATAAATAAAATAAAATAAAAATGACCCAAAAATAAAAAAATAAAATAAAAAAATATGGACGAAAATGAGTGTTTACACTTGGTAAACATACTAAAGTTCGTTTCAAGACTGTAAAGCACACAACTGAAGGGATTCTTGATTATGTGCATTCTGATGTATGGGGGCCTTCCACGACATCGTCTTTGGGTGGATCTAGTTATTATGTTACTTTTATTGACAATTTTTTACAGAAAGTTTGGGTGCATTTTTTGAAACAGAAGTCTGACGTTTTTGAGAAGTTCAAGCTGTGGAAAGCTGAGGTAGAAAACCAAACAGGACAAAAAATCAAGTGTTTGCGGTCTTACAATGGTACGGAGTACACAAATTCAGAGTTTCTAAACTTCTGTAAGAAGCATGGGATTAAGAGCCATTTTACAGTGCGCAAGACACCACAACAGAATGGTGTTGCGGAATGGATGAACAGATCGTTGAATGAAAGAGCCAGATGTTTGCGGTTGAATGCGAGGCTTCCCAAACACTTCTGGGCTAAGGCTGTTAACATGGCATGTTATCTTATCAATAGATCGCCAAGGGCATCATTGGTTAGGAAATTTGCAGAAGAGGTATGGACTGGTCATGATGTTACTTTTGATCACTTACGGATTTTTGGTTGTCTTGCTTATATGCATGTACCTGCTGATGAGAGATCCAAACTTGATGCAAAATCGAAGGAGTGCATTTTTCTGGGTTACAATACAGGTGTCAAAGGATTCAAGTTCTAGGATCCAGTTGAGAAGAAAATTGTGATCAGTAGAGATGTTGTTTTTGATGAGCAACCTATATTGTAGCAGAAGAAAGAAACGACAGTGGTTGATTTCAAGCAGTTTCCAGTTGAGAAAATAGAAACTTCTCAACCGACTTATGGTGGTTCCGCTACGGTTGATTTGCAGGATTATAGTGTAGCCAGAGACAAGGTGAGACGGACGAATATAAAGCCTCCAAATAGATTGGGTTTTGAAGAATTGGTCTCTTTTGCACTTACTATTAGCAGTGATGATCTGGTTACTTTTCATGATGATGTTACTAGTCAGGAAAACTACAAGTGGATGGTTGCCCATGGTTGAGAAGATGAAGTCTTTGAATCACAATCGCACATGGGAGTTAGTTCGACTTCCTGAGGGTAAGAAGCCTATTGGTTTTAAATGGGTGTATAAGAATAAACCAGCAGTAATAGAAAAATAGGGGAGAAGTTCAAGGCTCATTTGGTAGCAAAGGGTTTTTCACAGCAGAAAGGAGTTGATTATGATGAAATTTTTTCTCATGTGGTCAGGCACACTTCAATCCGAGCAGTACTTGCATTGGTGGCTTGTTGGGATTTGCATTTAGAGTAGATGGATGTGAAAACTGCTTTTTTACATGGTGATTTAGAGGAGCAAATCTACATGCAGCAGCCTGAAGGTTTCACTCAACCTGGAAACGAGCATTTAGGTTGCAGATTGAAGAAATCTTTGTACGGGTTGAAACAGTCTCCGAGACAATGGTACAAACGGTTTGACTCCTATATGATCAAGATTGGCTACAAGCGATGTGAGTATGATTGTTGTGTCTATGTTAAGAGCCTTGATGATGGTTCTTTTATTTTTCTGTTAATGTATGTTGATGATATGTTAATTGTTGCGAAGAACATGGATGATGGTATCGGTTTGAAAACTTTATTGGGTCAGGAATTTGATATGAAAGATTTAGGTATTGCAAAGAAAATTCTTGGAATGGAAATTTGCGGGGACAGAGACTCAAGGAAACTGTGGCTATCTCAACGAGGTTATGTTGAGAAAATGCTAGAAAGGTTTGCGATGAGCAGCGCAAAACCAGTGAGCACTCCATTGGCGAATCACTTTAAGCTCTCTTCAGAACAGTGCCCTAAGACAGATAAGGAAGCTGAAGATATGGCAAAAGCTCTATATTCTAATGTTGTTGGCTGCTTGATGTATGCAATGGTATGTACTCGTCCTGATTTAGCTCATGTTGTTAGTCAAGTTTGTAAGTACATGTCTAAACCTGGTAAACAACATTGGGAAGTAGTCAAGTGGATCTTTAGGTACTTAAAGGGTAATGTGGGACATGTAATTGTTTTCGATAGTCAGCGGGATAATCCTTTGGTTGTAGGATATGTGGATTCAGACTATGTGGGTGACTTGGATAATAGAAGATCTACGACAGGATATGTCTTTACTCTTGGTGGAGGGCCTATTTGTTGGAAGTCTACTGTTCAATCTGTTGTGGCATTATCTACAACTGCAGCTGAATACATGGAAGCGGCTGAAGCTACAAAAAAAGCTTTATGGCTTACTGGTTTAGTAAAGGAGTTGGGTGTTCAGCAAGGTGGAGTTTAGTTGCTTTGTGACAATCAAAGTATTATTCACTTGGCTAAGAATCAGGTATATCGTGCTAGAACTAAGCATATTGATGTAAGGTTTCACAAGATCAGAGAGTTGGTTGCATCTGGAGAGATTTTGTTTCAGAAGGTACATACTGATGAGAATGCCGCTGATATGTTCACCAAGCCAGTTACGACAGACAAGTTCATGCATTGCTTGGACTTGTTGAGTGTTTCGTGTTGTTAAAGAAGTAAGGTAACCCAACCCACATTGAATGTTTCCTAAGGGGTAGGATATTCGCCAAGGTGGGGATTTGTTAGGTATGGCTCATAAATATACCGAGAAAGTCTCGTAGTGGGGGTTACGATTATGTGGGTTGGGGTGCGGGGGCTGCGGTCCCGCGGTATGGTACAGGGTTATTTTTGTAAATATCTACCAAGGTTTATTTATTATAAAAGGATATGTAACATAAATCTATGAGACACTGAATTGAATTGAATAAAAATTCTAGCGTCGCCTAAGGCACAGAAGACGTAAGCACATTATTGAACCTCATTAAAATTCTTGTGTTCTTTATAATTTCTTTATCCGATTATTCAACATTTGGGAATACACAGCAAAAGAATCTGCAAGTGGTATACGATGGTGTTGGAGGGAAACTCAGGTTTGCTCCAGGGGGATGCACTTAAGTTTTATAAAGCTTATGGAGAAGAAAATTCTTCCAAGTTAGCTCTCAAATCAAATCATAATTCACATGATAGCAAGACTGGCTTAAGATTGAAATAATAAATACACTAGTAAAAGTCATCACTAGTGGATACTTCTCTTCCCTCTTCTACCCATGGATCATTTAGGGAAAGTAAAATGTGTGCTGCAATGTATGTACATTTATATAAAGATACGGTTTTTTATGGCTTTCAAATCATAAAATACGCATCTCTTTCGTAAACCGTTTATCAATGGATCTGTTCATATACAATTATGCGTATGCATATAATCTCTCCTTCCCCCGTTGGAATGGTCGGTCAAGCAGATATCTTTCAATTGTATAAATTGTATTTTTCTGCAGCTTGTACTCAAATTAAGCAAGCAGGGAAAAAAAGGTTTAATAAAGGACAAAGATTGGTTTCCATTTCCAGCTATGCGATTGCATTCCAAGGTACATAATGTAAAAGGATTTTAAAGTTTACAATTAAAACCATATAGCTGAGATTCGTAACAGAAACGCTAGCAATTACCAGGTCCAATTTCCACCCTCTGGTCTGGGATGTTATAGAGTATGTTTCGCTTCTGTTGTTGATGATTACCTATGATTGCGAGGCCATCCTTAGTTTCAGCAAATGCCAAGCAAACTTGAGACATGCCATTGGCTTTCCAGGTAACTGCTGTTTCGTCCAAATTTAAGTCCAAATTTTCAAAATGCAGTACCATTGTAGGTATTTCTGGCTTACCATACCCCTCCAGGTTATAGCACGTATCCAGTACATTACCATCCTCCTCAGGAGGAGCAACAGGAGGGTATTTCAACATCAATCCTTTGAACTACGAGCGCAGCACCGAATAGACCGAAGAAGGTAGGCGAGTAATAACAGTTCCTGAATCTAAAATGGTTCTGGGAGATGATACACCAGAAGCAGTGCCGATATCGACTCTTTTCTGGCCTATTGTTATGGCAATAAGATTTACATGATAAAAGCTGGGATCTAATGTACCCCTTAGAAGCGGTGTGTAAGAACCAGAAAAGGGGCAGTTCTCACGGGCTTTGTCACCAAAATAAACATATCCATTTGAGTCTTCCAATTGAGGAAGACAATAACAAAAAACCTTGTGAAACATTGCTGCAGTTTGGGATGTAAGTGCATAGTTACCACCATATCCTGTGCTGCCCAGACCTAAGCCTAGTATCCCATTTGCGTCGTCAAAGTTCCCTTCTACATGATCGGCACAAAGGAAAACAAATTTAGGAATCTCATACTCGTCCTCTATATGAAGCGTATCGACCATATATGTTCCGGCGACTTCGGATTTGTCCTTGTATTTCTCTCCATCGTTTTCATTACAAGGAGGCGCCGAACATGTGGTATTAGAGTAAGTTGAGGAACAAGAAGGATAATACAGTGACTGGTTTCGTTGTGTCGGACAGGAAAACATCGTAGGAGGTTGGCACTGTACCCAGGTTTTGTAACTGCCCGTGTCTATAATCAAATGAAAAGTTTGTACGGGTGTGCCAAAACCAACTTGCACAACATAATTGCTAGCGCCTAGTGAGTCTTTTAGAAAATCATGGTCTCCCGCCCTTCCATGGACACCTGCACGCCTATTGTATACCCCGGAATAAATTAACCGAACCCGGCGATCGTCTTGGGCAAGAATCTGGCTCGAAACGGTGGTTGATTTCTTTAGGCCAAATGGTGAGCAGGGCCCGTATTTATGGACCACCCGCAAACCTTTTCGAGGACCTGAAAAATGTGATGTTAGTATATATACGTTTTATGTAATAATGTTAATGCTGGGTAAATTACCTAAGCAGTGAGATGGCATGGCGTGTGAATTGTTTTTCTCCACCACGGTAGCACCGTGACCAAATGGGTTATTAAAAGAGAGAAAGAGGAAATAGCACAAGAAAATATGAGCAATGGCCATGAAAGCTGAGGAACCACTCATATTTCGTATGATTGCAGTTCCACTTGCTGTTGTTATCCAGTTTGGACAAGCATATATAGAGTGAGATGAAGTGAAATACTAGTTTCCAGGAAACTATGAAATGGAATTGTTTGCAAGATTCCAAAATTGGAAGTTGTATTTGGGGTCAAGGAACACGCCCAAGACTAGGCCCAAAAAACCAAGTCTTGCCGTTGACAAATCATGTCTCCTATTTCCGTAAACATTACGGCCATTTCCATTTCCTTTTCCCCATCAACTTCCACCCACTTACGGTGGGTGTAATGGTTGGATAATCTTAAGAGAAAATAACTTCAGTGACCGAAAATGTCTTATAATATACGATTTTAACCAATTTTTTTTGGATTTGCAAAAAGGACTAACAAATTCACAACACAAACTCCAATTTCGCAACTCAGTTTCCAAATTCGCAACGCGATTTTCAAATTTGCAACGCGATTTTCAAATTTGCAACGCGAATATATAAATCGCAACGCGAATTTGTAATTCGCAACACAAAAGTCAAATTCGCAACACATAAGTCAAATTCGCAAAGCGCGTTTATTTTCGCAACGCGAATTTTAGTTTCGAATTTGAAACACAATATTAATTTCGTAACACAAATGTAAACAGTATAATCGCAACTCATAACCTAAAACCCCAAATCACAACTCAGTCTCATCTCCATCTCTTTCTCTCTCAACGGCGACATCCGTCCCCATCTCCGGTGAAATCCGTCCCCATATCAGGCGACCCCCTCTATCTCCATCTCTCATAACCACCCTCATAACCATTCACGGCCACAAATGGAAAATCAACCACCGAGGGTTAGTTTTTTAAATTATTTTTATTTTGAAATTTTTGTATTATTATTAGATTTTTCATATTTAAATTGATGATAAATTTACTGGTAATTTCAATATATAGATTAACCATTTCACTTAGATTGCTTAGTAAATTTATTCGGTTGATGCCAATACTGCTAAACTGTTTAGTCTTTAACCCTTTGAAGTTAGTATTTATCTTTGTTTTGTCTTTTGGTTGAAGTAATGCAATTCATTCAAGTTTCAATTTGTAGAAGAATAGTTTTTGAAACTTAAATTCGCAACGCGAAAATGAAAATCGCAATGCGATTTTAGTTTCGCGTTGCGAATTTCATTTTGCGTTGCGAATTTCATTTTGCGTTGCGATTTTCATTTTCGCGTTGCGAATTTAAGTTTCAGAAACTACTCTTCTTCTGCAAATTGAAACTTGAATGAATTGCATTACTTCAACAAAAAAACTAAGACAAATACTAACTTCACAGTGTTGCGAATTTAAGTTTCAAGAATAAACTACTACTATTTATGTTGTCCTTGAACCTGCACTAAACCTATATGTTGTCCTTTTAAATGTTTATATAAGTGCTTACTTCTGGAATGTTATCTGATGCATTTTGTGAACTATGATAGAATAATGACTTGGGTGAATACCGTGCTAGTTTGAAACATATTTGGCTTTGTTTTCACTGTTTAATATCATGTATGTTTATAGTGTATAATTTGTAGTTTTTGGTATATCTAACTTGGTATGTTTATTGTTTTTGTTAGAAATTTTATTCGGCTTCATTGACTCTAAGGAATAAATTTAGTCTAGCCACGACAATTGCGTCCACACTTACACTTGTACAAAGAAAATTGTTTGAGGATACTTGATTCGGGCCATGCTGAAAGTACAACATCCAGGTGCAGATGCCATGTTGACCCATTTGTTTCTTCAGACCATGACTAACGATCTGCCCGAGAGGATACAACGTGGTGATGAAGAGATATGGTTTCATTTTTCACCGGCGTATACTTGTTTTGGGCGGGAGGAGTTTTGCGTAATCACTGGTCTACGTTTCGGACACGATAAAGTAGGTCGGTACACTAGTCATATCGCCCGCCCATCATGGTTATCTCGGGTTTTTCCTGAGCTGGCAAAGGCGAAGCCCAGTTTACACGTCGAAGACTTGAAAAGATTACTTCTTAAAGATGGTTTTACTCTGATGGATGACCTCGATGTTGTCCGAGTATGCCTTTTATTACTTTTGCATGGCGGTTTTTTAGGCAAAGAGGCTAGACAACCTATTTCTGAGGACCTAATATTATTGGTAGAGGACCTAAATGCATGAAATGTGTTTCTGTGGGTTCATATTTATGGAAAATGACTTGGAAAAAGTTATCGTCCGCCTTTAAGGACCGTCGTAGTTTGCGTGGCCATGGTTCCAAATACACTTTGGCAGGCTTTATTTGGGCCTTTAAGGTAAGAATTTCTATATAATGTTTCCAAAATTAATTATTTAATAATTACTAATGTTTGTGTATTATATTGTTTGTAGATTTGGATATTTGAGGCTTTTCTCAGCATGCGGACATATGCAATAAAAAATTCAAATGATATTCCTAGGGCTATTACCTGGAGGAGGATCCAGCTGTTGGATTGGGAAGAGTTACTACCATATACGACGATGAATGATGTAAGTTAACACAAATACTACCATATATAAACGAGTTATTACTAGTAGACGTTTAACTTTGTTTGAGCTTTTATATTGTTAGGAGCCCAACTATCCATTACAGAGGCTGACACCCACAGAGGCTGAGCTTGCCACTGATTGGTGGCAAGCTATTAAGCATTTTTTTGATGGGACGGATGATGAGCACCCCCCACTTCGAGAGCCATCACCTTATCGAGCCGATTCTACAGCTCGACACCCAGAGCCATCACCTGATCGAGCCGATTATACACCTCCACAACAAGAGCCATCACCTATTCCATCACATCATAGAGCCTCTTCTCCATCATCACCTCATGATAGGCGACCGGCAAAGATGCCACGAAATTTATCTCCTTGTTCTCCACCTCCACGGGATGAGTTAGGGGAGTTACGTGATGAGGTCAGTGCTTTGCGTGATGAGGTCGATACTTTACGTTACGACAATTGTGCATGGCGTGATGAGGTACGGTCTTTACGTGGTGAGGTAGATGTTTTACGCGATAACAATGGTGTGTTACGTGGTGAGGTATCTACTTTACATGATGAGGTAGCAGCTCTATTTGATATTGTTTCATCGTTGCAGAATAAGGTTCATACTCTACGTAATGAGGTAAGTTTGTTTAATATTATACTAAAAATGCAAATAACCTTTTTTCGGCATTATTCATTTATTTATTTATTTATAGATTTATGTATTAATTTATTTTTAGCGGCCTGATAAGGTAGATGCTTTACGTCAGGTTTTTCTTGCACAACGGGGTTCACGCATCAGACGTCATGCATGTGCCATTACGTCTCATTTCACCCCAATACTTCCAAGACTCCGCAAGAAGAAGCCCGAGGCACCTATCATCGTTCAAGGGGCCTCTCTCGTCATTCAAGAGACCCTTCCCACCGTTCAAAAGACCCCTCCCACCATTTAAGAGTCCCCTCCCACCGTTCGAGAGGCCCCTCCCACCGTTCAAGAGCCCGATTCACATGGCATATTATATCGACATATTGATAAACCCCCTCACGTGCCCGATATGATGGATGAGAGTTGGCTTGAGTATCAGTTACCGGTCGATACCATTCTTCAGTAGGAGAGGAGAACACTACCAGACACAATTTTGGATAATACCCTTTGGGCTAAGACCGCAGTTGATTTTTATCTACATGAGCGGAGCCAGGGGTGTTACGCTGACATATGCAAACTCGACGATGATATACATTTGTTTCTTGATCGGTCTTGGTGGGGTATTTTATTAGGGGTTGAAGAGAATGGCTATTTCGAATAGGGGGTAAGTCTTATATTATTCTTATATTGCATTTTGATTAATTTTTTTTAAATTTATGAAATTCACTAATATATGTATTTTTTTATAAAACAACATATTGATGCATGAGTGTCACGTCTTCTGATAATAAGGAAATTGAAGAAAATAAAAAATATGCGATGGACTATTATGCTGACGTCTTTTCACGTAACTCACTTGAAGGATCAGAGAGACACTTCATATGTGTTGGGTAACGGAAAAACTAAACTTTATCCTACGTGGTGGGAGGTCGATAAGGTTAGTATTTATTTTTGAATATTTTAAAGGTGTTCATAAATAAAAATTTGATGTGCGTAATTGAATTATTATTTATGATTGTAGGTATTTATCCCTGTTTTGGAACGTCGTCATTGGCTTCTCGTCGAGCTTCAGCTCCCATCCTTGAAGACGACAGTATGTGACAACATGTTGAATTACATACCATTTTCTGATTTGAGAGATATTATTTGTAAGGGATGGAGCGCTCATTTGGCTAAATACTTGGATGCGATTGATTATTGGATTAATTCTGGAAACAAGAAGCCAAAAAAGTTCAAAGTTACAATGATCAGAGACGAGACCGCGCCACAACAAACGAATGGAGCCAGAGGGGATTATGGTCCTCTTGTATGCATGTGCTTGGAACGTTTGACGACAAGAAATAAACAGTTTCTACCTCCCACAGATAGAGATAGAGGTGCAGTAGGGTTATGGTTTCAGCATTTTATGGCTCGAGCGATATATGCGAGACGTTACCTACCTGCATCCGCGTGCTGAAAGTGTGCATAAACAATTGGTAAGTTTGAGCCAGTGTTGTTAACATATATACTCTTTGTTGGTTTGAAAATGTTTGGTTAAGTACCTAGAATTCAATAATTTGATGTTTGTTGGTTTTAGATTGTAGAAAGTGTTGTTTGAGCAAATGTTTGGTTTCTGCAGGTTAATCCTGAAGTGAGCTGCGTGAAATTGATGTATTTGTGCATAAACAACTGTCTGGGGTACACTTTTTTTCTTGTTTAATTGATTTGTAAAAGTTGATTTGTTTAATTGATGAGGAAATAAGAATTATTTTTTGCTTGATTAATTGATTTGTAAAAGTTGATTTGTAAAAGTTGATTTGTTTAATTGATGTGTAAATAAGAATTATTTTTTGCTTGTTTAATTGATTTGTAAAAGTTGATTTGTTGTTTTAAATTTCAATCTGCATTATGT